CAATTAGNTAAAAATTATGCAATAGGACTTGATATGTAGATTATGCCACAGCAAGTAATGTAATGGATGACACTGTGCACTGATTTTCGCCCGATTTGAAAAAAAACAAGGAAGTAATATTTTTTAGCCCACCGTCTGTGGTCATGATACAAAAAAACTTCAATCGACAAGACAAAGCTCCAATTCATAGTACAGTGATACAGTGTAATACATGTGATGTCGCCAATGAATCAAAACCATTTGTACAATGATTGAAAACTTTTCATTTAGTCATTTAACTTTTCAAAGTTGTTTCGGAGACATGGATGCCGCGATAGTTGGCACACTATAAGTAGAGTATGTCTTCCGGACGGCGCAGTTTATGAGTCCCTCTGTCAGTGATTGAGCCCCAGTTTCTGGTGGGCAGTCTCTAATCTCAGACACCGTCATGATCAGGGATCCTATCGAGGCACAGTTACTCGCAATTTGATGGCAAGTCTTGACAGTCTAAGGTGTTCCATTGCAAACAAAATACCAAGTGTGGTAGGTACCCATGATGGTGCGACAGGCTCTTTTCTACAATTGTTCTTGTAAATTGATCATGAGATGTGTTGTATACATCTACAAGGACAGGTAATACTGTTAGATACAGGAATATAAGACCTGTTGGTTGTGATAATGTTGTCCCCAAGATTCTTATTTAACAAGGTTTACGATCTCATTTTTTGCCCGCCTTGTTTTTTTTTCGCCCTATCGCATTAGATTGGGAGACTGGGGAGAATGTTAACGTTATCCATAGAATTTACATGCTGTGGCCTTAGGACTTAATATGTAAATTCTATAGGGGATACTTCTAACTGATTTTAAGTAGAAGAATCGTGAATAAATTTAAGCGTTCTCAATATTTTGAACAATCCGTGCTGAAGTAAGGTTCATCTTACACCACATCTGTTCTACTACAGGGGCTACCAGACTGTAACATTCACACAAATAAACAACTATTTGAGGCACTTGAAACATTTATTTCCACCACAAAACGTTTTGATGGTCCTTCCAGTGATACCACATAAGTTAACCTCATATGATCTTACGTTATATATTTACTCACATATTGTATTATATTTAATTGTCCATGAGCTCTGACCTCCAAAACAGCATATTATTATCTTGATTGAATACTTAAGTATGCTTTGTACTTAAGTCTGTTGTAAGTTTATATTGTTAATTGATTGATTTTAGCGTAATGTCGTACTTGTTAGTTTATTGTATTAGTATGTTATATTGTGTATGTTTGTATAATCTTTGTATTGTTTGGCACCCGAAATCAGCTATGCTGCCTGGATGACCAGTGTATTGTCGTGTTACAATTGAATCAAAGTAAAATAAAACCACATTTGGACAGAAGGGACAGAACATGTGGGATTCTGTGATACCCTCCTACTTCTACATTCAAACTGTGACTGCTGGTTCCTATCTTTGTTATTTCTCTATGTGTTTCAATATTACTTATTGAAAGGTGCTGTCTTGTCCAACTGTACCTTTAATGATGTAACAGAGAGTTTGGAATTGTACAGACAACAACTAAACCATTCTCCTGCAAACGGTGTCGTTATTCATTGAAATGTTTTCTTGACATAACCCACTATTTGTCCATAAAAGCTAATCTCCAAGCAGATCTTTCGGTCGCTGCGAAGACAGTATCAAATTGGCCATGCAGGCTGTATCCAATACGTGAGATAAAAACCACAAAACAACAAATATAAGCCAAACCCCTAACCTCTGCTTGGAGAGTACATAAAAGCCGTCACAATATGATATTTGCAAGGACATTGAATGAATGACTTTATTTCAGGTTATCCCCATAGTACAAACATGAAACCACAGAAACACTAAACATACAACAATTTATACACATGTTTAAAATATGTATTTCTGAACTGACAGTCAGACGTACCTCAATAGACAGCATATACTATTATTGGTCTATTGAGGTGTACATACATTGAACTGGCACTACAACCTCTTGGCAACTTAAGGAGAATACGAAAGCAATTGTCATGCTGTACATGATACATGTAGGGTGGTCAGGTATAACGACTGTGAAGTGAACTAACTACTCAGTGGAATTTATACCATGCGATGACAGAAGAAGATTTGAGGAAACCCCCAATAGTTGACCACGCGAACATTTCCACACGACTTTGACGTGCAAATAAAGTTGCTATACCGGTTAGTCTATGGGGTAAAATTATGGCAGTAAGTTAAGAGGCCTCCAGCAGGGAAAGGTGGTAATTACTGACTGTACGGCCGGATATATCTGACAGCAGTCATTACTCCTGATTGGATATCGCAGACATGGCAGCGTCTGACGGCCGGATTCGATTTATCTGCTGCTTTTCAACTTGCCCCAGAAAAAGCAAACCGTTGCAGTGACGAAGTGACTGGAGTGTTCACCTTCCATTCAGAAGGTCGTGAGTTTGATCCCCGGCCGAGTCATACCAAAGACTTTAAAACAGTACCACTACTACTAGGCTTTGCACTTAGCATTTGGGAAAGACATTGGTAGTTAAACACACACCACTACCAGTGGACTAGCCTGCTGCTGTAGCGATTGCACAACTGTGTGGCCCAAGGGTTATTGAACCAGAGATGTGCGCCGCCACCTTGTGCGGGAAGGACTTTAATTAACTTAACCTAACAGAATAAGAGCACTGTCAATAGCCATGCTTTTCTAACATAAAACCTCTTGAAAGTACGTGCTCTTTTGTTAGGTTGTTCGCAACAGAAAAAAACTTTATCACCTTTGCCAGGAAGGTTATATTTTCAGTAGCGTTTGTCCGTTTGTCCGTTTGTCTGTCCGTTTGTCTGTCCGTTTGTCTGTCCGTTTGTGAACAGCATAACTCAACAAGCTTAATATGCATTGTCACGAAACTTGGTAGGTGGGTAGGTCTAGATGAGACCTAGAAATGATTAGATTCTGGGCCCCCTGGCGGCTTTTCTTGGTACTGCAGCAGAACTTTCGGTTTTGATATCTCGCGATCTGGACATGCTAGGGTCACGAATTTTAGTTAGTAGATAGCTCTTGGGGTAGGGAAGAAGTGACATGAGTTTGGGTCCCCTAGCGGCTTGTTTCGGAACTGCAGGAGCATTTGTTGAAAAAATTTTCGTAGGAGCATAACTGCAGAACCGGTTGACGGATTGTCGTGATTTTTGGTATGTGGGTAGCTGAAGTGATGCTTGACATAATCAGATAAAATTATGCAAATCAGGAGCTAATTTTCATAATTAATTAGGAAATTCTATAAATCTGCTTTGTTCAATAATAGGACTATGAAATACTTGTGACATGTAATTGAGAACGAAAAAAACATCTGAGGATATAGATTATGTAAAAGAAGACCTAATTTGCATAATTAATGGAAACTTTTTATAATTTCATAGTTGTAACTGCTGGGAATGTCTTACTTGCCACATTTGGAAGTTAAGTGAAGGCGAACATCAATAAACATAATTTATTCAAATCATGACCTCATTTGCATAATTTATGAGGAAGTGCTAGTATAACCTTTTTTGTTAAGATAAGGCTGTCATTGGGTGGACTATATGATCAACTGATACAACCCAATCAATGATTAAAATTGTAAAATTCGTCAACCGCAAGGGTTAACATCATTTGAAGAAGGTATGAGGTCGTGGAACTCTTGTTTTAAAATTTATTTGTTAGTTTCGTTGTTTGTCTGTTACTAGTATTTATATATAGGACGGTCGCAACAGTCGCCCCTACTGTAATAATTCCCTGTAGATGTCTCGTCTTCGTACTAGAAACGTCATCTTTGATTATTTGAAACAAACCCAAAGCAATTTCAGGATGGCAAAACTGGTTTTTCAAAGTCAATTTTCTGGTCATTCTTTTAATGTAGTAAGTTGAATTAAGCCTGTTCCGTGGCACACTGATATCTGTGAGGCAAAAATGCGATGTCACTATCGCAAATCGGTTGCTTCTTTTTTATCGTAAGATATATAGTTATTTATTGGTGGTGCCAAAAATTAAAGGGACTCCTCGCGTAGCTTGTTTCGGGGCTCTTTCAAACGCTTCAATTAATAATATAAAATGATGACTAAAATGTGTTATGAAATGACATTCAGTATATGTCAATATCAGATTTTCTCATTCAGAATATTTGTGCTTTTTCCGCTCTGAAATTACATCGGATCCTTTTAACTAAAATGCAGTACTATCTGTCTTCCATACGCCATTCATCCATTTTGATTGCTCTATCAGTATTTCGTACAAATATACATTTCCACGCTTATACAAATGTATAACCAGGAGACAATGATAAAATTACCGAAAGTCGAAGGCACAGGAAGGCTGAATATTATACGCGTTACGGCTGATGTTGGACCCGTGGAGCGAGGTAAAGTGAGGTGCAGTATGCTGGACAGACAGTTAGCAGTCCAGTGCGTGCCACGCCTGGTCTCCGCCAGTTCTGCCTACAGACAACCCGCTCAGCTACACTACTCCGACTTTTGCCAAGCTTTGTTCTCTCGGATTGGTCAGACTCGGGCGCCGTTCAACACGCTGAAATCAAGTTTCTAATTGGTAAAAGCAGAGGCTCGGTCTTATGCATGCATCACTTCGTGCTTTGAGACACTGGCGTTGATTGGCCGGTGATACCGCTGAGAGTAGATATACGCTACAACTTCCACCTACTACTGCGCACTGTACATGTTATAGTGGGCAACAAACTCTCTAAAGCCAACAAGACGTTTCTGTAGAAGAGGAAGTTTTCGGATCTCGTGGTCTGAACTCTTGAATCGTCATTAATGCTGGTGCAAACAGGGAAAACAGGCGGCACTCAGGGAGGCTCTCCCCGTCTGACTGGACCTGACGGAGAGTCACCACCTAACGTCACCGTCACTGACTCACCGATGTACCAGCCCACACAACATTCCATCGACGGGATCCTAGGCACGGGACCGGTCACCGCCGCGGTTCCCTCCGTATTCACGGGTAAGGCTGACCAACCAACACCGCACATGTGTATCCTCACCGTATCCTAAGCTTCTTCGACTCTTTTTTTATGTACAGCTGTATATCGATTTATTTATTTACTTATTTGTATAATGTTTCATTTTTCTTTCAGAGAATATATGTATTCCGTTTTCTATCAATAGTATTTTTTAGGTTTCTTTCTTTATGTGAAAAAGTCTCCTCGTCAATGAAAAGTAAACATTGTAGCCGTTGACGTATTAGGTTAGAATGAGAGATGTGCTTCTGTGGTGCGTTGGTAGAATGTAGAGTGATAGTAGTAATCGCATGTTTAGGAAGTAAATGATTCCGATGACCAGACAAAAGACAGTGAGATGCACTTGGAGACCTTTTCTCAACTTTCTCCTGCCCAGAGAGCGCCATCAAGAATACACGAATGAAGTATACATGGAAGTTGGCTGGTTAGAAGAATTGCCTGCCGTTTTGTTTATGAATAATCTAAATATAATGATTTATCCGCAAGGTATCCACACTGCACATGGAAATCACTTAGTGGCTGCCTGTACCAGTCTATCTTGTCCAGTTGTTTGAGTAGTAGAAAGATTTTTCAGTGGTACGGCGTGTCAGCCGCTTTCGCTTGTCATGGTCTCGTCTGTGTTGCACTTGGACCTTAATTTTGAAATATTCCATGGACGACAGGTTTTTCTGACACAAAACGAGATTTCCCAATTCTCGATTGTCTGAAGAGAAGCAATATGCTCGGGAGTGATGTCTGCATCTCATGACTTGTGTAGACTGCCCTCACGGTAGTTGTGAATGCGGCATGTCGCTGTCCCTGTGCCCGGCATGTTTGCTGGTGGTGCCCTGCCATATCAAACACTGTGCTCTCGCTTCTTTTCACAACAATAGATTTTTGACGGGGCGAATCCCTACAAAACCTCGGGAGGTGGTATCCGACGAACCGGTTGAAACCCTTAAAGAACCGGTTGAGTTGTTGCCTTCACACCAGGCTAAATTCAACCGGTTTATCCCCGCTAATGTCTTTATCCGGTTATGTGAAGTGAAGTGTGGTACGGACCGGGTCTAACCGGCTCTCACGGCCTGGAAACTCTCTCGATGTCGGTATTTTCTAGCTCCATGGTATTTTTGTTTGAATGCTCCTCTCCCAGCATGCAGAGGAAGCTAATGTAATCAAACCCGACTATTAATAACGCACAATTATGGACAAAGAGTCTGAATTACCGAGATGTCAATTGAAAGTCTCGATCGGCAGGGGAATTTTCCGCTTCATGGAGCATTCCTGACATTTGCGCGGCCCCGTCCTGTTGTTTTTCAATTTGGCTGCTGCCGAACAATCACAGGAATCAATGAAGGTTGATTATCACGCCGGGCAGCCACGTGTGAAGTCTCTGAATTTTAGGGTGCTGGAGAAGCTGACAGGTCCCGGGAGGAGGGGGGGGGGTGA